CCCATACTGTTGTCCTCTTGGAGGTGGAATTTTTTGCTTTTTGTCCAAGTAGTCTCAGTTCCTCTCAAAGAAGTGTTACAGTAATTTTAAAAACTCAGACATAAACCAAGCAGATCTCCAAGCTCACTTTAATGAATACATACATTCCTACTATGGATTGATAACAGAAATTGACAACTCTGATCTAAGCTGATCCTCCAGGGCCAATAACCTTTCAGGTAAAATGCATTTCAATGCACTTGGTGAACACTGTTTAAATCTACTACCACAAAAAGCACTTTCAAGCCTGCTGAAGAACAGAAAAAACCCTAACTTTCAGTCAAATCTGTCCACGACAGAATTATTTTTTTTAAAAAAAATTATTACAGAAGTTTTTGGATGGAACCACTACCATGAAGCTCCACCATCAACTAAAGAAAATTCATGTCTGTTTTAAGTGATACAAGACTGGGGAAATGACAGGACAAACAGCTAAACAAATGCACTGAAAGTCATACAGACAATCAGGGACATAGCCAAGAGCAGAAATTGGGTCAACACAGCAGTGTAGTCCCATGTGCATTGCATTTTGTCACTGCACCATTATCATTCTACACAGTCATTCCTGCTTTTTGTGACTGCCTACCACAAAAGAAACAGTGAGACAACGCTGTTGTGAAAGTGGGAGTGTGTGCATTATGACATTATCATATCATACAAGTTACCAACAGCGGATCTCTCATATCTCATACCACAAGATTAACTTCTTATGTTGAATATCATTACTTGTGTAATTGCTCAGACTCTGAGTTTGACAGTTCTGCCTTTCCTTTACCAAGTCTCTCTTGCATGAATGTTGCAGCCTGGAAAGTTCCCTGTGAGAGTAAAGCAAGCTGGCAGCACAAATGAAACCCTGAAATTATTGCAGCTTGACAAGACTCAAAATTAGCTGGCTCCCAGGAGCTTAGATATTAATACAATATGCAAAATGTGAACAGAAAATTAAGTACACTCTAGCTACTTATCTTTTACAAGACTGTATCAAAACCAGACTGTTACCTTCTGAAATAGTCTTTTTTGTATCTGCTGTCTTTCTAAAGAAAGAAAATGGCAGAAAGACTGGGTTTTTAGTTACATTAAACCCTATGAATCACTATGGAACATTTGTTTACATCCTGCATCACTACTTCAACCAGACAGTTAAGTACAGAACACCACCTTCGGCCAAAGAATTTTAAGCTGTAAATTGTAAGTTGAGACACTGTCTTCCAAAGGATGGTAACAAGCAGCAGTACAGAAGATAAAACCAGTGAGGTGGTCTAAAAAAACCTCAAACTCACATCTTATTACAAGCAATTAACAATTTCACATTATTAATACTTTATTTAATAATATACCTTTGCTTTACAAATTTAAAACAAGACAAATAGTCTCAGCCTTCCAAAAGCATTTTGCTGAAGAAATCACTTCTTTTGTGGTATTTTAACTCCTCCTCCAGTGAAAATACAAATTTTGAAACAAAAATTTCACCAGAAAGTAGAACTTCATCAGAAGAGCAATCACAATTCTTAGTTCAGAGGTCCAAGGGATGAAAGAGCAAGGCAATGATGTGCAAGAGACAGTAACAGATTTTTAGGGATGTGTGCAAGAGGACTGTAACTCTCACTGGTAGTTTTTTTTTCCCTGTTCTATAAAACTTGCCAAAGGGGAAAAAAGTATAATACATAACAGTGCAAACGTCAACTTCTGAGTCTGTAATTCAGATGAACACCTCAAACAATACACCTGACTCATCTCTGAGCTCTTTTAGCTCAAGGTACATAAAGGTTCAGGTCTTAAAATATCTGGGACAGAGGTACAGTTTTCAAAACCACAATAGTTCATGACCTTTACTAACACATTCTTCTCACTCAGGCACTAATTAAGTTTTGCTATTGTAAATTAACAGTATTGGGTATCAAGTTTTCAGGAAAACTTTCATATATATTTCATCCATCTTCATTAAGCAAAACTTCCACTGCAAACAGATCTTGTCAAACAAAGTAATGCACTCAAGAAAACAGAGAAACTACTTTATTATGGCCCAGCCCGCAACTTGCAAGTAGTGATAAAACCTTGTGTAAAATCCCAACTTCAAAAAAGTGCTGTTATATTTTCTGCAATGTAGATGCCAAATGGCACTCGTAGTTTTTTGCCCTCTATCCAAAACACTACTCAGAGATATGTTCATGCCTCTTAGAGCATGATACAGTAACAATTTACTTCTGCTATCTTTGGTAGAAGAATATGATTTTTAAAAAAACAAACCCAAACTAACTGAAGAAAGCTAAAATTAAAAGCCCATATAATAATTTTACAAGCATTATGAAAACGAAGATCTTTACTTGTACTTCTAAATTCATTCTACCATGCTATCTTTATTTGTAGTTAGAAGCAATTGTCTGAATACAAGAGTTTCCAAGTGATGACTTCCCAGAACTTTGGAAGACTAAAGACTATGGGCCTACACATCGAAAACCAGAAAGCTTATTTTCAGATTCTGTCTTAAAAATTAAGGCTGTTTGACTGTTCAGCTAGCTGCTGGTATTCATTACATGCCTGACCTCTGTATAAACTACATTGCAAGACAACTCACCCACACAGTAACATCAGCATACTGCAGAACAGCCCCAGCAGAGGCAATCCTGAAAATGAAAATGTCCAACTTCTGTCAACCCACAATAAGAACTCCAAGTACCACTAGCCAAATCACACCTTCAACTACTTAATCAACTTAGACCACAGTGTTAAGGCAAATTAACTGCCTCACCTGTACCAGGCCCTCTGGATGAGTTATGGATCAGGAACCCTAGATTCCTCCCCATTCCACTGAACTGAGAGGATTTATCTTTTTTTAAACAAAAGGTAGCATGCCACCACTTTCTCCCATAAGGTTTTGTAGGGAAGTCTGTTGCCTTGCTTTCACACAAAGCTTTTAAACCTTAATTTAATGTCATAGATTGAGGGAAAACTGTTGATTGATGGGAGGCATTAAAAGGGAAAAAGTTCAAAGCTCAAATTGAGCTAAAATTTCCTTCAACATCTAAATTGAATGCATTACGTAATAAAGCTTTAAATTATTAAAGCCTGCTGCACACCTTTTTGAGAACACAAGAACAATCCATGGGTAGCTTATTTCACTGTTTCAACATCAGAGATCTTGCATTGACTTCAGTAAGATTATGGGTGATTAACACTACATTTTAGTATAGCAAGTTGTGCCTTAAGCAACTTTTTTTTTTTTTTAGCACAAGTACCATTTTAGATTGAATTATGAACAGCATGGTATAGCTCCAGACTGAAAGATGTCTCAAAGCTGTAACTGAAGAAGTTATGGTGCTTCTCCACTTCCTCTTTAAAACCCAAAGCAATTCACAATATAACTACAAGAGAGCTTAAGAAGGGAACTAATTATAAAATGCAGATTTCACCATATAACTTAGCATAGATGAAACTGAAGCCCTCATCAGTTCGGGTAGGGTAATACCAGTATATCCCATTAGGCCATACGTCCCAAACTGCTAACCACAGGACAATATGTATATATAATAATAAAAAAAAAAGGAAAAAAGAAAACTACCCAAATCTTGCGTTTATGAATGCTGTTAAGCACTCCTGTTCCATGCATTAGCTCTGTAACAGCACAGCTCCGATATCAAATCTCTCTCGCAAGAAAGCACAGTTACAGAAGGCTGGAGGAACAAAACCATTTCGCTGTACAACATTCACCTAAATATTTAATTTCCACACATCTCAGTCCTCGCCGAGCACGCAAGGGAAGGCGCGTTGGACCGAAAGTTCACCTGTCCCCGCACCACCGCGACAGGGGCAGACGGTGCAACGGCGTGCAGCAGAGCGGGGGCAGCCCCTCGCCACCTCCGCGACGTGGGACATTCAACACGTCTCCGCACGGGCCGCTCCTCCCGGGCACCGCTACGAGCGCCCTGCGGCGGCCCGGGGGCTGCCGCTGCCGGCGCACCCCGCCCGGGAGCCGCGGGGCTCTCAGGGGCTCCCGGGAGTGGCGGACGGATGGACGGGGGAGCTCCGCCAGCGGCAGCTAAGTTGCCTTCTCGGGCCACGGCCACACGCACCCACCCGGGCGGACAAAGTTAGCCCGGGCAGACACCGCCCGAAGCGCTGCTCGGCGGGGGCGAGGAATTAACGGCGGGGCCGAGGGGAGCCCTCGCCGGCGCCCCTTCTGCGGAGAGAGCCGCCGCCGCTCTCGGCCAACAAAGGGCCGAGCGGTCCCCGCCGGGCTCGGACACCGGGGGTGGGGGGGAGGTGACTCCGCCCCAGCCGGCCCCTCCGCCATGTTGTTGAAAGGAACCGGCGGGG